ATTAGGTTTGACTGAGTGCATTTTTAGTTATTCATTTATTTATTCACGAATAAATAATAGTAGTAGAGTTGGGGAGGGGGTTAATTTTTAGGGGCTTGGATGTAAATTTGCTTTTCGGCGTTACCTGCAGTTCATGAGACGAGCAGAAAGAGGGTCAACGTTCCTTTGGGGTAGGACTGAATTGATGTTCACTGGAACCAAATACTGTGTGAAACAAATGACTTTCTACGTTGGTGACAGGACATACCCACATTTTTATTTTACTATTTTCTCAGGCACGGAATCCATTTGAATCCAAACGATATTTTTCGGGAATATTTCGTGAAAATGGGAAGTTGTTATAACACCAGGAGAGCGAAAGTGCGAAGGCTCATATCGTCAAAACATCCAAAGAAAGCTCATCTCTGAACAGACACATCATTCAGGTCTGGTGTCACTCCGTAGCTTATCACGTGGGCTCTGAAGGTTTCAGGGCCGAAGGGGGGGGGCATTCAAAACCGTCTTGTAAATGGGTTTGTGAGCCTAATCTACCGTTACCAGCTGCCCATTTAGAACATTATATGGACAGTCATTGTGATTACTGTACTAGCAGAAAAGGCTTCACTGGTTCAAAAGTTCTTTGTTGATTTTTTTCTATTTTTACGAGTACCCTTCGTTTCATCCATTTTGCATTTCAATAATTCAGCCAATATTTCGTATTTATGACATCGTAATTAACCCATTGACGACCATGACGTCTTGCGGGAAAACCACCGCGAGGGACCGGCGCGCTTTTAGTCCACTCTCATGGTCCAGCATGACCATTTTTTTGAAGTTTATGGGAGATATTTATAAGTTTTTGGAATGTTCCTCCGAATGGGTTTGAAAAGAATGCCCATACTGAGTGATTATTGATCTTTTTTATAGAACCAGCACTCAGTCTAGTGGTCATTCAATTATGACTTCAAACATTACCAGGAATCGTTTTGGGGGAACTTTTACGAGCTCTGCATTTAGTCGGTGACAGACAAAATGCTAATGACGATCGTCTTTTTGAAAAATCTCATTTT